GTTCCAGTGGTCTTCTCATCTTGTGTCCAGCTTCAGAGTAAGGTTTCTGCCTGGACACTACAGCTGTTCTAATCAGAAACCGGATCAAGCAAACTCTTCCTCGRTCGAGCAACGTGACGTCACAAGGTATGTGTCCTCGAGCTCGCGAGGCTAGGCTCAGATGAGACTGCAGCTGATAGATAGTGTTGTAGTGATGTAATAGCCTGTTTTGTGACTACGGATGGCTGTTTGTGCCAGGCTCTGCGGAGTGGGTCAGTCRCGGAGCTGCCGGAGACGACAGCGGAGCAACCAGCAGGACACGGGAGGGAGCGACTCCGACATGGACGAGGAAGAAGGAGAGCAGCAGATCGTGGGCACGCGGAAAAGCGACGCAGGCGGCCGCCGCGGAGGCCCGGGGGGCGTCGTCACCACTGCAGGGCCGAGTGACGCTTGCGAATATGGCAGCGGTCATCTCAACAGAAGGGGAGGCGGTCGGGATCGAACCGGCCCCGGACCSCTACACCCCGAGTCGCTGACGGAACTACCTCCGGAGCTTTTAGTGGAAATATTCTCCCTGCTTCCAGGGACAGTCCTGCCGAATGTTGCACTCGTATGCAGGAAATTTAGACAAATCCTCAACACGGAAACCATCTGGAGAAGGCGATGTATGGAGGGTAAAGATGCTGTTTCTAAGAAACGCCATGAGTGACATAAATGTATGTTTTGTTTTTCATTAACCCCGTCAGAAAGGCCACAAAGGATCACGTAGGCCTGACTGTTGATCTGATCATTTATAATAACAGAATCTGAATGGAAACACCGAGGAGGGGTTTCATTACGTCATTAGTAGCATTGATATTGAAAGCTCTAATAATAGTAATAATAGACACCGACTTTCACTTCTATTAGTCACATGTCAACCTTTATAACTGATATAAGACTTGATGCAGGCCTGGCTGTAGGCTTCAGAGGTCCTAAGATTAGTTTTTAGTCCCATAAAAAAAATCCACATCAATAATAGTGTTGATGCAGCCTCAAATTCTCCATGATATGGCTACAGAAATCCATCCTAATTTTATTCAAGTTGATGTTGACTGATACGAAACAGTTTTGGAACATGTAGAATCACCACATTTGATTATAAAAAGTCCTTTGTGAAAACTGCAGCCACTAAAAGATAAGGTTGAATAAAACATAGCTTTGTTATGACATTTTCATTTTAATTCAGCATTTTTTGATCAGTTATTATCAAATGTTCTGATTGTATGTAAAAAAAAATGAATACATACAGCATGAACATGTGGCACATAATCTTTTAAATTGGACAGAGTTAGGCCTATCACCCCAACCCTTTATGAAAATGATTTATCAAGTAAAACACAATGAACCTATTCACTCCATTTTTGTGTAATAGTACCTTTATTTTTTTACTTAGCTGCAAATATAGAGGTACATGC